TTCAAAATATCTCAATTACCAGGCTTCCACAAAGCTAGTGTGGTGTTCTGCCTGGCAGGAAACTCTCGCTGTGAGAAACATTCTGATAAGTTAGATGACAAGCAAGAGAACTGTCCCTAGGAAACTCCTGCACTCGGCGAGGCTCTGCGGGAGAAGCACAGGAAGGTCTGTGCTTGCCTCAGCCTCCTCATGCCTGCTGAAAAATAAGGAGCCTAGGTTATCCTCCAGCTTTGAAGGTGAAAGGGTTGGATGTGGGAAAATGAAACAAGATGTGGCTCAGGTGGACATAGGGCCAGTGAGACAACAGCGTTAGGCTGGGGAGTTCACCTGGGGATTGGGCATGGCATTGGAGGTGTCATGTAGTTTTGTAGAACATGTGGAAATAGCCTCATTGAGACTGAAGACATGGGCTGAGTCAGGCCAGCATGGAAACTACAGTTTTGGGAAAAAGATTCTGTGGTGAGATGAGTTTTCTGGAAGCCAGGAAATTTGACAACCCCGCCTTCGCAATTCTTCCTATATTTATTTCATTAAATGTTATTTTATGTCTTTCTTACTATAACAATAGTATATGTCAGTGTATAATGCTTATCTAGAACCTAATATGGGGTAACTATATATTTATAGTTACACTCTCTTTGAGTATATAAAATACTGTATCCCTGACTTTATCTAACTTAACACAAGAATTTTTCCAAATTAAAAACAAACAAACAAACAATGAACTGTGAATTACCTTTCAGTAAAAAAAAACGAGATGTGCTCTGACACAATGAACCATGTTCTATCTAACCTTCCTCTATCACTGATCACATTGGTTGTCTCCTGGTTTCTACCAGTGAAAACTTCCTGTTGTAAATGCTTTTATCTGCATAAACCGCCTCCTGTTACTTAGGATAGGATCCCAGCAATGAAGATGACCACTCAAAAGGTACAAAGGTTTTCAAAGTTTTCATTCTTGAGATATATTATGTGTACAACGTTTTGTACACACAGGTTGGTACATCGCAATGAGCAGCCTGCAGAGGGCTTGGCTTAGTACACACCTGACAAAATGGGACTCATCCTATTTCATTAGGTTTCTGTAACCTCATCTTTGTTTTTCCCCTTGATGCATTTGCAAAATAGAGAAAAGGTTGCATTCTCCTAAACAGTACCTACTTTTGCTTTTTTAAAGTTAATGTCACAGGGACTATTTTCACAGTTACTCAGCTTGGAAACCTCAGACTTATCTCCAGGTCTGACTAGATATGGGCAAAAGAGAAATGAGTGAAATAAAAACTGTGTGGAAGTTTTCTTTGAAAAGTCTCATGATCTGGACCATTTCCCTCCATTTGATGATCACCACTGCAATCCCCTGACAACTCCCGTGTGGCCTCCTGTGTTCCTTTCTCAGTCTGTCTCGTTTGCCCTGCACTCTGCTGTCAGGCGACTTGTTCATAAGCACTAAGCACATATGCAATTGTCTGATAGATAAAGTTCCGGCAATTCTCTATTCCTTAGATTAATCCTTTGCCTGCCTCTCAACCGCCAACTGCCAAACACCAGGAAGTAAACCTTATCTTTCCAGGTCCTCCTCCCATCGACTTTGTCCTCCTTTTACCTCTCTGTCTTTTCAAAGAAGAGGGCTAGGGGAAAACGCACTTGACACATATTTCACAGAGATAGAACTTGCCATTTATGTGATGATTCAGAAGGTACCCAGGACCTCCCATGCTTCTCACTGTAATGTCAATTTGTGAAAGTGGCTGTTAATAAGGGTTTCTAGTTGATGGCATATTGAAACGATAGCTTATTCTGAATTCCTGATCTCATGCTGTTACAGCAAAAGCATAGAACTTGACCTTGAGTTTGATCAAGAATGAGGACTCTGGGCTCTGAGACTATTTAACTTTTATAGCCATTGTGTAATCTTATGTTTAGTTGAATCATAACCCTTTAAATTTCTGGCTTTGTGGCCAGAGCTTGCATTCAGCTTCTAGTCCAACTGTGCTGTATTGAGTTTTCTCAGCTGGTAGTCACTGTGCTTTCAAGGGAATGTGCAACTCAGTTCTCTGCAAAAATGGAGTTATGTTCTCTTGGCTGTAGAGTACATAGGTCAAGTGGAATTTCTGGCAGTTCATTACATTTCCTGACCCTCACTAAACAAACTTCAATATATACATACATACATATATACACATACACACACACACACACACACACACACATATATATATATATATATATATATATATATATATATATATATATATATGCAACCATTTGGAATAAACACTACATACAAGTGTTGATCATAGATTTTTCTGAAGAACTACCAAATGCATCAAGACTAAGGAAAACATTCTAATGATTCTTTCAAACATGAATATATTTAAATTCTCGTTAAACAATCTTCTTATTTAGTCTTCTCAGGCTTTGATGACATGCCACGATTGGCTGTTTATCAAAAACTTAGCAAGAAATGCTTAACAAGATATAATCATGTACACACACTTGTGCATAATTAAACCCAGTTTATAAATCAGTGCACAGTGGAGTATGGTCATGCCACTCATGGAAGGTTGGTGGCTAATAAATAATACTTTTTCTCTCTACCTATGATGAAAAATCTTATAATGTGAATGCTGTTAAGGTGAGATAATAATCTGATCTTAAATCATAGTTATAAACATCTATTTCCATCTTTTCTGAGCTAAATGAAAGTTCTAACAAAATCAGGAAATTAACTTACATGTAAAAACACAATCAGACATTAATTGTTCATACTGGAATGTATGGCACAAAGAGATGGGTCCTCATGAGTGTGTTTTATTTTTTTAAAGAAGAGTTTAGCTGGTGCTCAATTTTTAAATTTTATAGCTGCTTTTTTTCAGTCAAAAATAATGGAATAATTGAGATTGGGTAATTGGTATTTCTCAAGATCCGCAAGACTGGGTATTGCATAGTATTAGAAATATAGTTTTCCATTTGTTTTATGACTTTGTCCAGTTAAAGTTACTGAGATAAGCATTCCAGTATTTACTTGTAACTTGAGATGCCTTTCATAGTGTGACTGGATTCTATGGAAAAGAATGAACATTTGAGGAATGCTTACCTTATGCCAGGCATTTATATGCATTATCTCATTTAATTCTCATAACCACGAGATATGGTTGATATTATTAAATTAAATTCGATTTTATGTGCCAGAGATCATAAAGGGAGTAAAGTATAGAATAACGGTGTGACTCTGGACCTATCCACTTCTTTAAAGCCTAAGATCCTTTCATTAACTCACACTAGGTTTCTTACTGTAGCCAGAATATGGAGGTGACAAGAAGGGACATTCTAATAAGAGGTCTTCTGAACTTTGACACAAGTTCTCCTCTGGGAGTAAAATGAGAAATAAACTAGTATGGCGAATTAGATTAAAACATGCTACTTAATGCAGTGACTGGCTAACCAAATTACGAGATGTTCATACCATGAAATACTGTATCATCAATGGCCAGACTCAGATAAGTCTGTTCAATGACGTGGACGACTGTGAGTTCTAAAGTAGTTGCAGGAGGACATGTGCTGCATGTGCTTTAACACAAGCAACAACCGCATACATGTGTTTTCATATGTTTAGAAATGGGTGTAGAAGGATATATACAAACATGTTAGTTACTTCTGTTTAGCAGGCTGAGAGTGACTAGCAGGCAAATTTCAAATTTTAATCAAATATTCATCACAGTTTAAATTTTTGTGTGTGCAATACATGTATTATATTTATAATTACAATTCATGTAATGAACTAGCTGGATAATCTGTAGGAATGGCCTGATCCAGGGAATGGGTGATTAAGGAGATTTAATCTCACAAAAGCAGAGCTGCCCAATACATTTGAACCTCTATCAGGCTTCAACATTACTATATGCACATGGTGAAAGGTAAAACCTCATCACTCATACTGAGCTCTGCCTTACCTGAGGAAGGCACTAACAGAGGGCAAATGAGTGACAGTGATTTAAACTTAACATGTCCAAAACGGACCTCTCCATTCTGCAGTTCTTATTCATCCTGCTCCTCCCCCAGTTGTACACATTTCTCCATTCACTCAAGCCTAGACCCTAAGAGGCACGCTTGATTTCTCTTTACTCTTTCCCACTGCATCCTGATCAGGCACATCCAACCTGACCCACCTCCAGAATATCTCTATGGCCTCCACTCAGGCAACCATGATCTTTTGCCTGGACTACTGTGGTAGGCTCCAAATAGGTTCCCCTGCTTTTGCTTTTGCAATCCATTCTCTACATGGCAGCCAGAGTCATCTTTTATACTTCCCCAATTTAGCACTTTTTGTTTTTGTTCATTGTATTTCCAATGGCATAAAAATGTCTAACTGTGGCCCATGGGACGCTGTGTGACCTGATACCCATTTAACATTTGTGACCTTGACTCCTACCACCATCACCCTAGTTGTTAAGGCTTTTGCCATCCTGGTCTGCTCTTCAAATATATCAAGGTCTTTGGATCCTCTGGGCTTTTACATTTATACTCTTCTCTTAGCTGTTTACAAGGATGGCACCTTATTAATCTGAGTCAACATTTTACGGGTGAAGAAATAAAATTTCAGAGAGTTTAAGTAAGTTATTGTGGTCCTACCATTTGGTGCATGGCAGCACTGGGTTTTGGACTCATGTCTGAGATATCTCATGCTCTTTCTATTATACTATATAACACAGTAAAGACAGGCCATCCCAGGGCTCTGGCTGCAGTTCAGACAATCAATCAACAAATATCTATTTGTGGAAAAGACTAGGAAAAATAAATTCATTCAGACATTCCTTGCGTAGATTCTTCTTCCTATAATTAGTACATTCTCCATCTTCTGTACAAAGACTTAAACCAGTGAGAGGGAAACATCTGATATAGATACATTTGGAAACCGTCGTCTTAGAGATCTGAAATTAAATGTTGTTCATTCAGGAAATGAGTGTCCAATAACACAACCAGAAACCTTTATAACTTACTTAGTCAGATGTCCAAAGAGGACTTTCATGGTGTCACGATTTGGTGGAGGGAGTTTTTGTACAAGAGACTTCACAGTTTCAATTCTTGTGTTGTTATCTTGCTTTTCTGAAAAACAAAAACAAAAACAATAAAAACAAAGGTTAGAAAAAAAAGTAAGATCTCATAGCTACATGAGGGAATTTCTTAGGAGAGTTTTAGATTAAGACTTAACAGCTTAAAGCCCTACTCAAGAGTCAAAGGGAAAAGGTGTACTCAACATTGTCATGGAGTTTCCTCATTTTGACTCTGAATTAGATCGTGGTACCATGAAAGCAGTAATAGTGTGCTTTGTGTGGCCATATGACTAAGACTAGCCACTGAGGCTCAAGTCAAAGCGCTATGAAGGACTCCTGGGGAGGTGATGTAAAGGGTACTGACTGAGCTATTGAATCAAATCTTAGTGTTTTACTATTATACGAAGTATGGTGTGATAAACAATGAACTTCCAAAGATGTCATGTCCTAATCTCTGAAACCTGGAAATATGTTACCTTCCATAGAAAACATACATTGCATGTGAGATTAAATTGGGGATTATTAGATGGAGAGATTCTGCTGGATTATCTGGGTGGGCTCAGTGTAATCAAGAAGGTGGTAGAGCAGGAATCAAGGGGATCATAGAGTCAGAGACAGAAGTGATGTGACAGAGGAGGCAGAAAGAGAAAAGGTTATATGATAAAGGACCACGGGGCAAGGAGTGAAGACAGTCTCTAAAAACTGGAGAAAGAAAGTGAAACTGATTTCCATCTTCTGGTCTTTAGGAATGTAAGAGAATATATTTTTGTTGTTTGTACTCACTGAGTTTGTGGCAGTTTGTTACAGCAGCAAAAGGAACCAACACACAAGAACCCACGTTGTGATTTAATTGCCAATATTCTTTTGTTTGCTTGATTTTGTGGAAGAGTAAAGAATTTTTTATTGTACTCTGCTATCCTGTCTTTATGATACATTTTGTTTTTTCTACAAATTAGGAAAGTGAAAAAATTGAAAGTATAAAACTTAACACATATTTAAAAAATAAGTTCTTCAACACTGCATGCCACAAGGATTGCTTTCTTTCATTTTGTTTCTTTTTTACTTTTATGGGCAGGAATGGTATAATAAAAACCAAGTTACTTATACACTAGGGAATTCATCTTACCCTACTTTTAACCAGGGTATAGAATTGTAATAATTTACTGAACTTAAACACTTTATGAATATTGACTTAGGTACTTTTCCTTTCTATACTTTCATCTCTAACTTCTAGCCTGGAGCTCCAGATGACAAGCACACAATTTCCATTCTCCTTCCATGGATGAGGAAATGGTAATATACCTTCCCAGCTTCCTTGGCAGCTGGAGTGGGCATGTAACTAAGATTGGCCGTTGAGCCACAGTGTTCTGTGGGACTCCTGGGAAGATTAGGTATAGGGGTCTGATTTAGCTTTTCAGCTTTTTTTTACCTCTGCTCTTTAAAATGCAGACAGAATGGTTATAGCATGAGATGACACAGAGAACTGAGACCGAACAGAGAGGAACACAAAGGTAGAAGGCACTTCTCTGAATCTGTGAAGCAGGCAGACCAGTACTGTACTGTCTGTGTCTGGGTTTCTCATACATAAGAAAATAAGCTCTGTTTACTGAAGCCTTTATGAGTGGTTTTCTTATACTAAAGCCAAACAGGGTTCTTAATACAATGTACTTCCTAAAGCCCAATTTGCAGGCACCTGTTTCTAGGTAGATGAACTTAATAAAGTAGAGTAAGAAAGAGTTACTTCAGAAATTGGCAGGTTTTGTTCAAATATCCTGTTGCCAAAAGCCTACTTTTTAAAAATAAGAAATTATAGGAAAAATATCCTGCAGAAGATGGTATTTGGCGAAAATGGGATGGGGGCAGTCTTCCTACTAGAACTGGGCTTGGAAGCTTTTCTTCTTCCTCCTAAAACCACAAAGGCCTATAAATAATACCTCCCACAGTCACAGCTTTCAAAATTGCAGTTATTCTTAGAAGAGTTCCAATATAATATGGATTGGACAACTGCCAGTGAAAGAGACAAAGGAGAGAGAGAGAGAGAGAAAGAAAAAAAAGAAAAGGAAAGCCAGTTGTAACATCATAGCAGACAGTAGATCTAATCTTCCTGCCAAAAGGGTAGAAAGTCCCCTTGTAGCTTAATGATACTAAGACAGTGTGATGCTTCATAAGACCAGTGGGAGCCTATGGGATACCAGAAACTCATGAAAAGAACTAAATCAAGTCTGAAGATGAGAGTAAAATTTGTATAGTATGACCAGGACAGAGCTCTTAGGGATACTTGGATACCTTGACTTTAACCATCTGAAGCTAATGCTACACACGAATGACTATATGCAAAGATATATAGCCCATTCTAGTAATAGAATTTACCTAAAAATCTGGTGAACCACTTGGTTCAGACAATAAAGAGGATAATAGAGGAGGTGATAGTAGTAGTCCTTATACCCGTCCCAATAGTCCTGAATGAAGTACACTTATTGTTTTAAAAAAAGGTGGTAGAGATGAGAAGAAGGGAAGGGAGGAGAGGTGAACTTTACTGAAATCTCTGGCCATCGTAATGACCGAGTCAAAGCCAGAATCTCCAAAAAAGTGATCGATTGACATTGAGGACTGCAGAAGTAGCAGTCATACATTAAGCTGCAGAGATGATAAACAAAGAGTGATTCAAATAGTTATATCCAGCAAGCTTCAGTTTTAGGGAACATGTGATCCAGTCAACAGTGAATTTCAAGAAAGGTTGAGGGTTGCTAAACTGAAAATATGTGAATTTGCAAGGTCACTGCCATGGTGCCTTGGCAGCAATGAAAACTTTACTATGTCTGTTTAACCACAAGGTAAAATAATTATGAATTTCCCCAGACAGAGTCAGTTCTCCTTCTTCTGTGTTCTGTTTCACTTAGAACATTCTGTTTATACAACATTTCACATAATATTTCCGTGGCTTGAAGCAACACAAGTGCCCATCAATAGACAGATAAAAAAGCTGTGGTACATATAACAATGGAATATTACTTGGTCGTAAAAAGAACAAATCTTATAATTTGCAACAGCATATATGGACCTAGAGGGTATTGTGCCAACTGAAATAAGTCACTCAGAGAAAGATGAATACCATATCGTTTCACTTATATGTGGAATCTAAAGAACAATATAAATGAACAAACAAAACAGAAAAAAGACTCATAGGGAGGACAGACTGGTGGTGGCCAGAGTGGAGAGGGCTGGGGGGCTGGGTGAAAAAGGTGAAGGGATTGAGAAGTACAGATTGGTAGTGACAGAACAGTCATGGGGATATAAAGTACAGCATAGGAAATACATTCAACTATATTGTAATAACTATGTATGGTGTCATTTGGGTACTGGAAATATCATGAGGAACAATTTGTAAAGCACATGATTGTCTAACCAACGGGATGTACACCTAAAACGAATACAAGATACTATGGAATGTAAACTGTAATTTAAAAAGTTAAAGAATATATTACCATGGCTTGAATGCCTACTGATTTCTCACATTAAACTAGGGATTTTCCTATAAAGCTAGGAAGCTCTTACACTGGCATCCAGTGGGTTAAATGGATGAAGAGAGAATGAGTGAACACATGAAAGATGCAAACATGGGTTAGAATAGACAGAGCATGGTTTGAATTGTGTAACATCTTTTTATTAGCTATGTGGTCTTGGACAAGTTTCTTATTTTCTCTTAATAATATGTAAAAGGTCAGTTTGATAGATTAAACAAGATAGTATGTAATGTACCTGGTGCAACAACTAATAAAAAGTTACTGCTTTATAAATGTTCACACCTCCCCACCATTTCTGAGGCTCATGCTGGGCCTGGTTTACTTTCCATTTTCAGTAATAATCATCCTCTCAGGTGAGCACTCAAATTGAAGGTGTTTGTACTTGAACTGAGTTGGTGCCAGTAGTGACAATGCACTTGCTCTGACATTCTGACATTTCACAACGCTAAATGCTTGGGAAAGGCTGGAGGACTGATGATCTGACTGGCGAGCAGTCAGTTACATGCAAGAACCCTTGTAAAGTATATGGTGGTTTCCATATCTACTTACAAGAAACATCCTACCTAAAGTGTATTTTATTGAAGGATTTTTTTCTCTTGTCAACTTTCAGCCACACGTGAAGAACTGGACACTTGAACTGTGGTACACAGATGTGTGTGGGTAAATTATAAATACACGGAGGGGGAGTTGAACAATGGTTTAGAGAGAGCTGAAGTTACCAAGGAGTAGCCCTTTATTTTCTTACAATATAATCAGAACGAAATCTTTGAAAAGGTTATAGAAAAGCAGTGGCTTCCCATTCAAATCAATACCACACCCACTGTCCTGTAGCCTGTGAAATCAGGAAATAACTCACACACTTCTAAGTGGAGGAATATCTAAAAATACAGTTGGAAACATTAAAATCGAAATGACACCTTTTCAGATCTGGTTTATTGATGTGTCATATTAGGACTTGGAATCGCGTACATAATAGAGGAGTGGTTAATGAGCTAAGATTCACACACGGCTTACTGAAGACCTGTCAACTGTCTTCAGTTGATTCAGTGAGCATGTGAAAGACAGCGTTTTCTATTAATATTTCCCTTTCCACATATGGTTTCTCATTGTTGTGAAGTATTGAGAGTTTTGAGAAGACTGAGATATCTCTGACTTTTTTACGTTGTAACTAAAGTGGGAAACAAAGCACTTTTTCTACATGGAAATTAGAGCAACTCTTCAGTAAATTGTATACCAAACAGCTTATATAGATATCATTGCAGGCCCTGGCTAGATAGCTCAGTTGGTTAGAGAGTCGTCCCAGTGCCTCAAGGTTGTAGGTTCAATTCTCTGTCGGGACACATATAAGAATCAACCAATGAATGTATGAATAAGTAGAATGACAAACCAATGTCTTTCTCTCATTCTCCTTTCCGCTGTCTCTTGAAAATCAACTTAAAGAAATCTTTCCAGTAATAATTAACTCTGTAATTCTTTCTCCCTTCACTTACATGTGCTCTTACCTTTATTTCCAGACCTTTTTATTTAC